AAAAATTTCTCAACAAAAAAGAATACCTAATCACAAATTCTAAACACACATACACGGAAAGATGAGTGCACACTTTTAGAGGATTCATCTTGACACAGTTATCCAGAGATTTATGCAAAAACTCTCATGCTCTATATATTCTTAGGAATTTCACTTGTAAGTAGGTTTGACAAGGGTTCACTGGAAATTCCCGTGACACAGAATATCAGTGGATGGAAACTCAAGATAACTGGTCTTAATAATCACTAAGAATGGCTCCATCCAATACTTAGGATGTGTATCAGTCCAATATTGGTCCAAATTCCAGGATTAAACATGGGGAAAAAAAACAACTTTAGTCCGATCCGATACCTAAGCTCAGAGATAAACATAACCGTGCTGTAAACAGGGACACCATCGCTGCAGCAACAGCAGCTAACAGCAGCTAACAGCAGCTAACAGCAGCTAACAGCATGCTGCAGGAGAAAAGAAGTCATCAGATTGATATCAATATCGACAGATACTCCAAGTTGCAGTATCAGTATCAAACATGGAAAAGCTGTATCAAGCCGTATCTTATAATTACTCAGTCGATCTGCATATTTTACACGTTTGGTTCATACACTGCATATAAAAAATGGAAATGGGCCTCTGTAGTCATAAATGAAGGACCATAAGGAGATGGAGATGGATACTGGTGATTTTGGAAGCGTCACACTGGGAAGGAAAGCAAATTCAAGTGGTTTCAACACTTAGTGCTCAACAAACTGCAGAGTTAGAGTATTTCCAGAGTTTAAAGGAAATGGTCCAAGTCTTACAAGTCCCATCAGTAAAGGCACTTCACTGATGCCAGGGGTCAGATAATGGCCAGACCAGTTCATGTTGATTGAAATCACCCAATATATCCATGAAACTCTGTGCACAGCATTGTAGTTAGAGCAGCAATAAGACCACCGCAGACACCACGTCAGTTCAAAGAGGACAAATGGTGTGAGGGATTTTGAATTCAGTTTGGATGAGGGAGTCGACGTGATCTGTGAACCCTGAGTTTCATTGGTTTAGGCTGGTGGTTCACTGGAGTTTGATTAGTAACACCTTAACAATGTGAAAGCCAGAAAAAAAGTCTATGCATTGAGAGGTAAATAAAACCAACAACAGTCAAAGGTTTCCTGAAAAGTTTTGTAAATAAACAGCACCAAAGTCGTCTTTGGTGTCAGCTTACTTTATTAAATGTATTGATTAAACAAAAAATAAAAAGCAGAAGACAATTAATAGTATGTTATGGTAGTATTTGTGTTAAAAAAAACAACTTCATAGATTAAGTACATTACCATTTTAATTTAATGTAATTTTAAACATTTTTTATGTTATAATTAATGTTTTTATTTTATGCAAACAGCCCATGAGGCAGATGTTTCCACAACGATTGCAGTTTGTGAACAGATTGGTTAGAGGTCAAAAAGGACTTGCTCTACAGTGGGAACTAATGGATTAGAGACAGGCTACTCAGCAGAGAGCATTTAATCTTCGCTGTGGTTCTATTGAGCTTATGTTGGTGTTATATTGTGCCTGCGTTATCTGCTGCATGAACAAAACAATGCACGCGTGGTTTGCAAGATTACGGCGGCATAATGTGATTAAGTGTGGCATCAGTTACAGTAAATGGGCCAACTATCAAACAAGTCATTTCAGAGGAGTGCAACGCTTAGGAAAAACATCAGAAAATATGATTCATAAATCTCTACTTTTTCCGTGACTATAGCAGTAAAAGACAAATAAAATGAATGCATTTAAAGTTTTTGACAGAGTTTGTATTTTGTTGGCTTTTTAAATGATTCATTTTTTAACACATATGGTTTCTTTGTATTTCTTACTCATATAAAAGATAAGTGAAAGTGAAACCTCCCATAATGTGAATGTATGAGTATGTTTTTTCAGCGAAAAGCATCTTCTTCTTTTTCTTTCGGCTTTGGTGTTATTTTTCATAACTGCAAATATGTGATGGGAAGTAATGAGAAAAATCATTTCTACCTAGGGCAAAGCCCGTGGGTATTTGAGTACTTTCCCCTTTTTGGTAACACACACACACACGTATTTATATATACACACACAAATATATATATATATATATACACACATATTATCAAAATGGGGAAAAATGCTCTAATTTAACTCCTAAATATTTGTCTTCCCAGTGGAGCGTTTATATGACGTTGATGGGAACCAATGTCACGGCTTGAGCAAGATTACTAACTGTTATGCAGAAAGAAAACAGAGTGTCTGTAAATTATGATGTTAACACACCGGCCGTGTGTGTGTGAAGCATTTCACATAAAACTCATCTGGCTGTCAGTGCAGAGCCAGAGAGAGAGAAAGAGCGTTCCTGACCATTTAACTCTTAGCCACGTCAATAACTCTTTTGTGCTTAGACCTTGAGGTAATTGAAAATCTTTCCGTCCTATAATGAACATGAAATGTCAGCGCCAAAAGATGCAGAACTGGCATTTAGTCCAAAACCCGTGAAACCATCACACATGTGACGATGGTTCTGATAAAGACGGAGTGAGTTTTGCACAGGGTAGACGTTGCATGGATCAAGTTGTCAATTTTGGGTGTGGCTGTGACTAAACTGTATGGCATTAACTGAGACTGAAATGAAAAAATATTGTTGTTTTTGTATCTGTAAAACAGCGACCTCTCTCTCTCTGATATTCAAATAGACCTTTGTCCATGTTTCTTATACAATTCAAACTGGGTGGAGTTTTATTTGAGAAAAAGAATCAGAATGGGTACAGTTCTGATCAAAACATCAAGAAATGTCCTGTAGCCACAGTATGTGTGATGGTGTCAGGTGTTGGTTTGGTAATTGTTGACTATAAGCTAGCACAGCTTTCTTAGTATCCAATTTGTATGTTTCTTAAATACAAGCACGGCAGAGAAATGACTCTGAAACACATTCTTCTACCTCAGTGGTTCCAAGGTTTTTTCTGAAACCTCTGCTTTGTCGACCAATTGTATTTTCTGAAAAACTGATACAAACTGAAAATGAAAACTCAATAAAAACACAAACCAGTGAATTTTCCTCACTTTGACAAAAAGAGAAAATATTTAGATTGACATTGATTGGCCTTGCTCTCTGATCCCCCTCCCCATTAATTACTCTATTCCCTTTTAGGGCTCGCCCCGCACTTTGGATAAAATAAATGTTTACATATTTGTAGCAAGTGAAATGCAATGCAATATACAGGGGATATTCACAGTATGAAATACAGGGCAATGATTGCATCATGAATGATGATGGTCAATGTGTGATAATGAGGCAATATGAAAACAGGAATTTTGTTTTTCCTTTGTCAAGGGCATGGAGTTTTCACTCAGTTTATTAATATTTTATCCAATTATAAGTAAATCAAATATTTATAAAGACTATATTACATATTACCTTGTCAAATAAATTAACATTTTTTATAGTAATAATAAAATACTTTATTGCAGATATTAAAATAGTTACTGTTAACTACATGGATATTGAATAAGCATTCCTAAATATCTAATTTCTACCTGCAGGCTACAACCAAAGCTGCCAACTGGAGGGAGGCCCAAGGACACACTGATATGTAGACCAACAGAAAGACAACCAGCTCTTTCTCATGCACAGCTACTGCGTGTAGTTGTTTCAAAATGTACTCTGACATAAAAAAAAAAACATTATTGAATTATTAATGTTTTATTGCTTTCAGCACTGCATGGCTAATTCACTACATTTACACTTAATTAAAAAACCTATTGTTCCAGTCTGTTTACAACTACACTAAAAAAAAAAAAAAAAAAACAACCTTCTAAACCTGTGCGTCAGACCAAACTAGTACTGAAGTGTGCTGGATTTCCTAATGAGTTCCTGAAGCAGAGTCGAGCTGATAGTGCTTTGGTCCATAAATACCTTTCTGTACTTCTGTATTGTATACTGGGACAAAGACAGTGCTAATAAATACAACACAGTCGGGCTCCAGCAGTGACTGGACTTCATTGGGCATGTAAACATAGCCACTGCCTCAGTTTACTGGCCGGCGCAGGGACTTGGAGAAAAGTTTGTGCTGCTGCGTCAAGGTCAGGGGCCTAAACAAGTGTGCCGTATAACAAATGTGCTTTCTGCAATAGGCCAAGTGCCAAAGACGATAAGGAACTCATGAAGAGAACCAGGAGCAATGTGTTAAGGCCTTTGGAGGATGTGATTAGAAAACTAAAGTGTGTTTTGACTCATGAACCCTCAGGAGAATTCTTACTAGGATAACCAGAAAAACGTAGGGATGTTCATTTTGATACTGTCAAAGAGTTAGTCAACAACAAGAAGGAAAAGTCTGGCAGCGAAGAAATCAAGTCACAGCTGATTTGATCAGGTCAACTGTAAGAAGAACTAATGAGGGAGAGATTTATCATCATATCTCTAAACAGAGACCGGTCATAGTGACATGTGTCCAGTAGTAGAATAAACAGAAGACAGTGTGAAACCAGTAGGACTGAAACTAAGACCAACTCAACAATGGATGTCAAAATTAACAGTAAAATAGAACAGCACATCACGCATGCTTATTTTGTTTCCTCAGACTGTGCAGATTTATACCTCATTTGTGTAATTAAACCTTAAGGAATAGAAACTGAAAAAAAGGAGTAAAATAAATAACACTTCCTGTTATTCAAAAATGTAAAATTTCAGCACCAAATTCAAGTTACTACAACATTTTGACAACTACAACCAAGGCTTGTGGCGGTAGCTGAACACAGCAAATAAACAACCCAGTTGGCTGCTTTCATTCAGCCTTCAGCTCTTTTCTCAGTGTTCTGGTCCAAAACATACTGTGTTTTCTTTGGTTCCTAGTTCCAACACAGCTATAGAGGAAATTGTTGCTGGATTCATTATGCAACACAGTAAAGAACCAAATAGGATTTAATGGTTAAAAACCACCATCTCTGGGAGCCTTCACATACAGTATAGAAAAAAAAGAAACACACACATTACTCACCAATGTACTGGTTCCACTCAGGGTCCAGATCAGCTTGATTGGCCAGGCAGCCCTTCATGACATTCAAGCAGTAATTCTTACAGGGTTTAACAGCAGGCATGCCCTGACAGAAAGGGCAGTACAGCATCTTCGTCATCGCCCGGATACACGCTGGGCTGCTGCTGACCTGTGAGGACAGAGAGGTGGAGCCGTTTTTACCATGTGAGCAGCGCCTACGCATTTTGTGATTCATTGCTATCAATTAAATGAAATTCAAATATATTTGTCTCTCTTTCCTCTCACTCGGTCCAGATGTGATCTTTTGTTTAACTACATTTTTGTTTCATTGAAGTGTGGAAAAAATATGTAATTGAAACATCATCGCTGCTGTTTCACTGCTGTGTTTGAGACCTGAAAATACAAAGGTGTCTCAGGGAGGAGCCTCGTCTGCTCTATATCTATATAAAAACTGAAAAAAAAAAGTAAGTAAACACAGGATTGACCCGGAGGAGCTGGCAGCCTATATGGTTTATCAGCAGTGCAAATTGCACAGTGGTTTTCTTAATTCGATTCCAAATGGCTTTCAGATGGAAAGTGCAACCTCTTATGTGTAAACTAACAAAAAAAGACTCAAATTTTGTACGTAAACTAAAAGCATGACATTTTCAGTTCCTTTTTTTACAGCCATTTTTTCATTAGTCAACTCTTTTTGCATTTAAGGATGAAAATAGTGATACAAAAAGTGATAAATTGTTCAAATGCAATTTTTGTTGCTTATAAAATCAGTTCAACATTACTGATATTTTTACAGCATGATCACTCACCCAGTCTTTTGACTGCAATTTTATGCATTTTCATGTTTTTTTATTATTTTAAATCATTTTATACAAGTAATTAAAATTATTATTAATAGTTGGGCATGATCTTAAAATTTTCCATAGCTTTTTATCATGTTTTAAATAAAATAAAAACACTACTAATATAGCTAGGTAGTGACCTTTGTATACCTCAGGACTTGACCTCTAAGGGGATTCAAGATTTGTTTGTACTACATATTCCAGTAGAAGTTAGAGTCTGGGCTTTTCTAGGTGACACGTGATCTTTCCCCTAAGCTACACTGTCTACTACTATTTTTTTTTATAATATTTGGCTAGACTGGTGTGAACAGAGTAACGTGGCCTATCAGCTGGGTGAACATTTGTTTGAACAGTACAATACACAATAATAAACAACACAAACAATGTCCAATAGTCAAGTCCCGCCCTAGTACTGAATGCCTGCTGATCAATGGGTGCAAAAGTTCTACTCTCGTCTCAATCCTGTAAACCATAAATAGGGAACTTTAGATTTTTTTTCCCTCAACTGAGCCAAATTTGCAAAGTAACAGATTGTATACAATAATAAAACCCCCAGCCTTTAATCACTTCAGATAAACAGAGGCAGATGCAAGGCTCGGGTAATGATCTGGGAAAAAGCTCTGTTGTTAAGCTTTTGTGAGTTGCAGAAGTGATGGTTTGCACGTTTAGTCAAAATTCGCCTGCGTTTTATTCCCCTTAAGTTACAAGAAGGAATAAAGTATTACATCATTTATTTTTACTGAGCTGTATCCCAGTAGCAACAAGCACGGATGCCACACGGCACCTCCAGCACGGTGTCTTATTGCATTATGCTTACACCAAATCCCTGGTGATGAGTTTATACCCTGGGGATCAAAGGGCTGCAGTCCCATACACAAGACCTGGGTCTGTGCTCCCACTGAAATGTCAAAAGGTGACACCAGGACATGCTGGCTGGTGAAAAACGCAGGGTGTAACTCAGTAAACACATACTAACAACACATCCTCCGGTGGGGACTGCTAAATGAGGGCCCCCCTACCACTTACTACTGCCGTGGAACATGTTCAAGGTTCAACAAGTGCATGATAGGAAAGCTCAGTGGAAAATTCATATTGGATTGCTCCGTGTCCTTGGCATTGTCTCTGATAATTGAAGGTTTCTATGTTTTCATCTCTGTCTCGGACTATATCATATATAGCAGATGTATAAATATTTAATATAGTTATGATTATCCAAAGTAACTGATACGCACTGAAAAGAAACCAGAATATCTGGGGATTTGCAGGCCGGTGCTTATCACAGGCACATAAGAGCGTTTGCAGTTCTGTTGTGCAGCTTGAATAAAACCCAAACCTTAGCCTCTTTGCTTTTTTCTTTAATCTTACTTCATGACTACATCAAAACTACAATACACTCCCAGGATGATACACTACAGCGGCTACGCTAAGATTACATTAAAGCAAACAGAATGCTGAGGCCGTGGCGTGATTTATAGCCCCAGGATTTGGTGAACAAATATTAGGCAAGACAGCAGTAAACACTGATACTACAGTACCAACATCTTTGTTTCTGATTTTTCTTTTTTCTTTTCCGAGGGCTGTTCTTCCGTGCAATGCATATAGCCTTAAACTCTGTTTTCAAGTCAGCTGCGGAACAAACCTCCTACAGCCTCAGCAACCGACAGACACGGACAGAGCAGAGTTTGCATTAACCATAAAACATTTTTGTAGGTACTACTTCACTTGAAAAACCAAGGGGAAATGTGTTCTCACTGCAGAAACACTATTTGGCCTTAGGCTTGTTCAAATTTGTAGACTATAGTTCGATTTGGGGTGAGGTCAAGTACTAAATATTTAACAGAAGCAGCAGGGTTTGCAGCTGACAGAAACAAGCCTGTGATTAACTGTTTTAATTTAGCTAAAATGGTGTGATTTATTTATTTGATTTGATTTTTTTACCTTAGTCACTCTCTGGGCCACCTCCCGTCCCACAGAGAGCCCCTGGACAAATGTGCGAGCGGCGATGAATGCTCGGGTAACCTGAGCCTTGAGCTTCCTGGGCACGTCTCCAAAGGGCTTGAGCTGGTCGGTGTACTTACTAATACACTCCAGATAGTCTTCGGTGATGACATACTGGGAGTTGAGCAGTGTGAACATACGCTCCAGCAGCCGCGACCAAAAGTCATTAAGCATTTCCTCCAGGTTAACGTTCCCTCCGGTGTAATAGCGTTTGAGCTCCGAAAACAGGTTCTCGAACACCTCAGAGTTCTGCATGTAGGGCTTTCCATAAGTCCTCACAAACATCTCGTTCAGGGACCGCTCCGTGTTCTCCAGAAGCTCCAGGAAGAATTCTGGGTGAAGAGGAAATGAAAAAGACTCACTGTCAGTTTGTCCACCACATGTGATTATGGCTCTAAAAATCTATTCGATACACGTAGTAGCCAGGCGGGGGAACCCATCAGAAAATACTACACAATTGGTACAGTACTGAATAGAACTGACGAGAACAGCATACAATAGAACAGACTAGAGTACAATAAAGAAAACAGATTTGAAAAAATAGAATACAGTAGAATGGGGAAGATTAGAAAACGGCACAGAATACAATAAACAGAACCTAATAGTTGTAATAAGAGTAGAGTAGAAAATATTAGAACATGGTCTTTATTGTCAGTAAATTTAGTTTTTTTGTGATCCCTCCAATTGGTGCAACTATAAAAATAGATGTAACAAAAATAACAAAGTGACAAAAAACACAAACTTAGGAGGAAAAATTTGAAAATATAAAAAAAACAAAAACAAATAAAAGTATCTGTCACACATTCTTCATATTATTGGCATTAGGTTTACTGTAGAATTAAGGTTAATTAAATGAAACGTTTCACTTTTTGTATATGGAGAAAAGCATGCGTCTGATTTACTAAAATTGTAACAACATATACAACAATATTTACAAAAGTCTGGAATGTGAAAAGATTTACCTAAAACTAGGCTTTAAAACGTATTTAAGGTAGTATGGTAAGGTAGTGTTAAAAATACATATTATACATAAAATACATATTACATATATATATATATATTCTTCCTACACTCCAACTGCCCATGGATTCCTTCTACACACACTGAAAGCTGAAGGCTGTGAGACAAAGAACAAACCGCATTCTTCTAAACGGTGAGTCTATAATACAGGTCATCTATATAATGTGCGTCCGTTCTGCGTTCTCTTCTCTGGCTCTTCACTGTTTGCCTCGTGAGACGGTGACTCACCAGAAGCTGAGATGAGAAGATTCCTATAATGATAGTCCTGCCTTTCAAGGACCAAGATTAATATTTAAATGCAAGCTCCAAACTCTTCCACATTTAAATGCAAAGAGAAATTGTTGAATCCAAGACGAACCAAACTGATATTTCTTCTTGGGATTGTGCTGCAGTTTTGATTACACCACGAATGCAGGAATAGTTTTATGTTCCTAAATTACACTATGACCATAGGCTTTAGAGCAGAAATGATTAACTCTAGGCAATTTGCTGGTACTTGAAATGGCCTGCTAATATATTACATGCAAATAATATCTAGAGAGGTTGTTTCACTTTTTTTAAAATACATTTAAACTGAAAAATAATTATCTTATGTACTTGAACTTTAGTTTTATTTAGCAGACAAGGACAAAGAAGTGTTCACTGCACTGCTAAATTCTGTGGCCCTAAGAACTTTACAGTAGCGGTGCACTGAATGTTTAATTTAAACAGAAAAAACTCTATTGGTGTGAAAGCTCTGCTTACTTTCTTGCCAACTGGCTGTTGAAACTATGCTGAAAAGTATTCTAAATGACTCAGAATACTCATAACTGTAGAGGTAACAGGTTTAATTTATTTCCTGTCATGTTGAGAAATCTACAGCCACTGTTGAAAACACTTATTCTTTTCAATCCTACTAGCAGAAATGTTTCTGTTTCTGTCCTGATTACATTAGAATAAAAATAAAAAGATTTCCTTTCAATTTCAAAAAAGCATCAATTTGTAAAAAAAAAGCATTTTTGCATAATGGCCTGCATGAATTAATTCTAAATGCTGATTGCAATGTAATAATAAATAGACGGATGAATGACTGAATGAATGAATGAATGAGTGAGTTAATGCGCGAACATGCAAAAATGCGAAAATGCACAGGAACAAATACAAATATTTAAAAAATTCAGGTACAATTGAAACTAATGATGTGGATCTCGATACAGTATTATTCTCTCTAAATTCTCTTCTCACTCTGCTGCGCTGTTAAAATATCTCTCTAAATTCTCTTCTCACTCTGCTATAAATATAACTGAAGAAAACAATTAATGATGGCCACCACTTCTGGTCCACCCACCCAACCATCCATCCATCCATCCGTTTGTCCTCACTCCTGCCACATCCAACCTCCTCTCCTGTCAATGTCACTGAACCCGTAGCTGTAAGACGTTCCAAGGAAGTGTGGGTCATGTGATCCACTCAGACTATAGAACCACTTAGTGATCTGTCTAGAATGTGTGAGCGGTGCACATTAGTGTCTTTTATCAGAACGGCCTTGACAGACCTGTGATGGATCTGAAGTGGTCATTAACGAGCTTTAATTGACACATTATTGAAGCAGATACTAAAAGCAAAATACGAAAGGAAACCCCAGCATTAATATGGAGTGTTTCTGCTTCCTTAAAAGATAGGACCTTTTCACTTTCCCTTTGTGCTCAGAACCCGTTGTGTTGGTCAATACCCCAACAGTTTGGGTCCTTTATTTAATTCTGTAAATGAAGCATTAAAACAGTTACTTTACTATGCGTGCATTAATTCCTGCTCTGCTGTGTTGTGTTCCTGGTAATTACATTCAACATTCAGCAACGTGCACACTAATGACGGCTTCAAAATTTAATTAAAAGAAATACTTTTCAGATTCTTTTCAGTCTGAAAAGAAATATGAACAGAATGAAACTGTTAGTGTATAAGGTGTAATTATAGGCTTTGAAAGTTACTTACACTTACATTATGAATGGTTGCTGTACAGCTCTGAGACATACTCTGAGGCATTTGGGGTAAATAGACATCTCAACATAATTAGTAACAATGCATGACAAAAGTCTTAATAGTTTTGAAATGAAAAAAAAAAAGCAACGAAACGTCTAAACCTAAAAACAAAATAACACAGAGGCTTATTAAAATCTTAAAAAATGTCAGCGTAATTAAAAGAGCCGTCTAAATGAAATGCTGCAGCAGCTGGGGAGCAGAATAAAGAGGCTAAAATGCCGGGCAGTAGAATTTTAAGAGTTCATTAGATGTTGCTGATTTTGCTGGGTTTAGTTGCCCCCCCCCCACCACCCCACAGCCCCCCACATGTGCACACAGAGTTGAGCGGAGCAGACACCCAGTCAGCCCCTCTGTGATAAAGAGAGACAGAGCCTGTGTTTCCACTGATGAAGGCTGTCCTCCGTGTCAGAGATGTCAAATAGTTTCTATTTCAGCAATCTTCAAATACACCGCTCCTATTTTAAAATTCCAACGCTAGACTGCGGAAGCTGCGTACAGATGCAGACAACTACTTCTGGAGACAATATAGTGAGAATCTTTTCAGAACTAAACCCAGGGGAGGCAGCGTGGGGGTGGACGTCTGCGAGGACACTGGCAGACGTTGGGACAATGTCTAGAGCGTGACGTAGATGAAAATGTAGGTTAACCACTGATCGTCCAGAGGAGGAAAAGAAAGAAGAAGAAGATGAAAGCAAAGAGAACCTTCTCAGACACAGCTGGCTGTGTAATGAAAATCTGATACACATTTGTGCGCAAACAAAGTCCAGAGTAAAGCAAATTTACCAGCTCCAGCAAATCACATCTCTAAATATTTAAATGTGGATGATGTACAGTAGAAACAAACATAGCCTGGTGTCAATGAACTGAAGGTGATTCTCAGGAAGAGAACATTGAATTTATCTCAGCCTGCTGTGTAAAACAGACTGGAACAAGAAGCACTTTTTTTTACAGGTTTTATCATTTTGGGTTAAAATGCACATTTTTTTAAGCCTTTGTGGAAGTTTGTGGCTAAAATGCTTTAGAGTGTCTCTCCAGTTTTATTTTAATGTATAATAAACCTAATTGTCTTCTTCAGAGCTTTATTTTTTTATCATTCATTTTACAGTAATCTCAGGGCCTCTACTTTTACAGGTAGATGTTGTTTGGCTCTAGTAAAAACCTTCACTCCTAGATTCATTGTTGAGTGTTTTTCTGTTTTGTGTCACATCCAGCCTCTGTATTTATGTTAAACCTCCTGCTGATTTATATTTTTAAACTCTAGTTTTTCAGTGTGTTTCTTGTCTTTCTTACCTCTTGTCTCTCTACATGTTCTCCACTTCCTGGTCTTTGTTGTTCAAAACCCCTGTTGCTTCCTCCTTTTTTTTCCCGCCTTTTTGAATGCCCCGCCCTCTTCACCAGGGTCTTAGCTCCTCCCCTTCTTCCAGAATTCAAACCTGCCTTTTCTGTCAGTATTCTTTCCTTCCTGTAAGTTAAAGCTGATGGTTTTTTTTATTTCTTTCTGTCTGAAGGCTGTGGAGAATTTTGTTATCTTTTCCAGAGCTGAAAAAAAAAATCTTGTACTGCTTGTTTGTTGTTTTTGACACATCATCCAGGCAGATCTTTTTGTCTCAAATGGTCTGACAAGTAGTTTGGATGGTTAGAATTAATGTAGTGATGCATTGGGTTGGTGTTTCATTCTCTCATTAAAGTATGGAATATTAATAATAACCACATCATATAGCAGCCAAGTGTTTATAATATTAAATCCTGACCTTTTTTCTTTGCTGACTTTTGTCTTTTTATCCTCACATGCTGCTCCAGCAATTCCCTGCCATTGATAATATATTTTTATTATTTTGAGGTTTTCACTAGAAGAAAATGAAGTAAATAATAACTAAATAAATTAACTCCCACGTGAGTTTCCTTTCTCTCTTTTGCTTTCTCAAGACGTTTGAAATGTCCTGACCAGAACAGACTTTGTTCTCATTCTTGCAGAGTCTGCATCAGGTTCATGTTTCCACATGTATTAGTTTCTTTCTAGATTTTATTTGACGCATCAGCCAAGTGACACACTGTCGCTAAAGCTGTTTTTTGACCTAGTCCTACATACTGTAGGTCAACCTGTACCTGAAGTTATTGCTATCATTAAATCTCTGTTTTCAACTCTCAGGTCTGGGTTTTGCTCCATTTGTTAAAGATTTTTGTAAATCTTTGTTTCAAAAGTAATATGACTATGAAAAAAGAAACAATTAGAGCAGTGAAATTAACACAAGTAAAAATATCAACAGTTTTCAAGTTTAGAGGAAAATTAAAA